TGACCATGTATAAGGGAATATGTTACATATGATGAGGGTTAGTTTTACTGTACAGGTAATTCTTGGCTTAAAACCACAATTGGAACCAGAACTCCTGTCTTTAAGACAATCATTAAGTGGGTCACACTAGTTTATGTTACCTTTCTGCCATGATTGTTAAACAAATCACACAATTGTTAAGCAAATAACATAATAACAGAGTTGGAAGGGAGCTTAGGGTTTGTCTTCTAGTCCAACCCCATGCTCAAGCAGGAGACCCTTTACCAGGGGTCAGCAACCTGTGGCTCTGGAACCACAGGTGGCTGTTTCATCCTTCTGCTGTCGCTGATCGTCTCCACAATTGATAGGGCTTTCAGTTAGAACAGGTAGAGGAAAAAGGATGCTGTGCTAGGAAGAAACTCTATGATGAGGGAACCAGACTTCCGGTCAGCTCCAGAATTCAATGGGGGGGCTTCCTGTTAGGACCTTTGTGGCTCTTTGAGTGTTTAAGGTTGCCGACCCCAGCACTATACAAATGGTCATCCAAGCTCTTCTTAAAAGCTTCCAATGATGGAGCACCCACACTAGCATTAACTTTGAATCAGAAGCAAAGCTTTGTCAGAAACTGATTGGGAAGGTTTCAAATGGCAGGCACATGAACACAGAATGCTGAAACCATTGTAAATACATGCTGGTTGCCAAGCACCCAAATTTTGTTTACATGATTACAGGGACACTGCAACAATTGTTAGGTGTGAGGATTGGTTATAAATTATTTTTTACAATAGTGTCATAACCTTGAATGGTTGCTAAACCAATAGCAATAGCACTTAGACTTAAATACCACTCCATAGTACTTTACAGCACTCTTTGAGTGATTTATAGTGTCAACATATTGTCCCCAACAGTCTAGGTCCTCATTTTACTGGAAGGATGGAAAGATGAATTCCAGACTGTGGGCAGAGTTAGCCCGCAGTACTACATTCTAACCACTGTGCTACCAGGGATCTAAACAAATGGTTGTAAGACAAGCATACTTGTACTAGCTGATATAAATTGAATTCCAAAATGTCTGGTTGCCAACTCCATACAGTTTTACTCTAGAGAAGGTTCAAGATATTACTGGCAAAAGAGAAAAGTAGCAGTGGTCACTATAGCTAGCAGCCTCCCATTCTCCTTTTCCCTGTAGAAAATCCATCTGTTAATTGTTACTGGAGAAACTAAAGAGAAATTTGGAGGAATATTGCAGGATTGGGATTTGATCATTCCTGCATATGGAGTAGAGTAGGAACAATCCCTCTCCTTTTCCTTGACAATTGGAAGATTGGAGCATTAGAGAGCAGGGATTGTCCTGGAAAGGAGAAGTTCCATAGGCAATTGATTCTCTAGTTTTTGCTAGAACAAATTTGCTGTTAAAATGGTTCATAGGATGGGCATGTCAGGGTTCCAAATAGCATCCTCCACCATATATGAATATGTAGAATATGTTTGAATATGTGGCAGGCATGAATCCCAATACAAAGCTGGCTTCCAAGCCTGACTGTATATTTTGTCTTTTGCGTCTTAATTTAAACACATAAATGCATGCTATACAAAATAATGTAAAATAAAACTATTTTGCTTCACATTACATCATAGTGGGGGACACTAAAGATCAAAATTCATACCCAGATACCAAATAAAACACCTATCACATATTAGATGTTCAGGCCTGCTCTGAACAGTTCCAATTAAAAACCAAAACTATCTTAATGAAAGAAGAGTTTCCATGAATTATCTGGGCCTTGGCATCATTCAAGTTTTTCTTTTTAGTAGCAAGAACAGCAGATGTTCCAGATTTTTTTCTCTCCATCTTTAAAAATATTTTTTTCTACAATACTTTTAAGACAGGCTAAAGACTGATATTTTATTCAAGGTTTTATTTAAATGATTCATGTCTTCCATCATTTTAAATATCAGAAGTTGATTTTATTATTTACTTCTGGTTTTAGTATTAATTATATTTATTGCAAACTACCTTGCAGACTGTGCTGACAGCACATATATCTAAGAAATAAATAATGCTATGTGCCACCAAAAACAAATTCAATATCATTGCTGTACTGTAATCATAATATTCATGTTTTTTTTCAGAAAATTAAAATGGCATAAGCACAATAATTTCTTCCTTTGTGTTGACAAGCTCAAAATTCGTAAGCAACGTCTATCTCAATATTCAGTATTTCATTAAAACATCACTATTGTGTTTAAATTATCATTGCTTCTCTTTCAGAGTGAGGAAAGGTCATCTTAGTTGTTGAAGCATCAAAAAGATTCATTCATTCATTCATTCATTCATTGATCAGAAGACACATCACACTTGTATAAGAATATTTCTAGCAAGATGGCTGATTATCTGTAATGTGGTTGGATGTTAGGAAAAAGTGAAAACAGAGCAGTTTGCCAATGGAAGCGGAAACAAAGATTGAAGCAAACTAGCCTGTTTAAAAGCTGTTAGAAAGGAAATGCAAGAGGGCCTGAATATGGTTCTCTCTCTATAGCAGGGGTGTCAAACTGATGGCCCATGGGGTAGATGTGTCACACTCAGGGTACACCTACTCCAGCTCAGTGAAGGGGAAAAACTTCACGATACGTCATGTGACAGAAACCTGACACCATGAGTTTGACACCGGTGCTCTATCGTCTTCTTCGTGAGTCATAGCAGTTGGTTGTGGCCTCTATAATTATTATTTAGCTGAAATCCTTGTGTTTCTTTTTTTAATAAGTTTTTTTTATTTTCAAAACAAACACAACACAAACAATCTTCCTTTCTTATAGAAAGTGTATCAGTTGTTTACAAAAGACTTTCGTGCATCTCTTCCACAGTCATCAAGCATAATTCATATTAACTCAAGTATTTTAACTCAGATATTTATACATGTTACCATCATCATACCTCCATTTTCATTTGACTATAGTTGTTTAAATGTCCTTCATCATAAAATATACCAAGATTTAATACATAACCACATACTGGCATTTCATTTACTATTTCTAAAATCCTCCAATGACACTAAATCCTTATGTCCTATTCTAGGTAAACATCCATAATGTTTAGTAAAAATTTTTTCTCTCTGTGTGTGTGTGTGTGTGTGTTCAACATAAGGAAACTGGATGTAAATTGTAAACAGTGATTTGGAAAGGAGGCTTAAAATTTTTTGTTACTAAATATTATGGATGTTTAGCTAGAATAGGACATAAGGATTTAGTGTCATTGGAGGATTTTAGAAATAGTAAATGAAATGCCAGTATGTGGTTATGTATTAAATCTTGGTATATTTTATGATGAAGGACATTTAAACAATTATAGTCAAATGAAAATGGAGGTATGATGATGGAAACATGTATAAATATCTGAGTTAAAATACTTGAGTTAATATGAACTATGTTTGTTGACTGTGGAAGAGATGCACA